AACAATTTCATTTCGTATCGATTCCTATTCTGGTGTTTAATGTCTTCTGATACTACTGGCAACGTTGGTAATTCTACTGTAATGTCATTTGTCCCGATAATTTAACCATTACTGTTTACGCCAAGCAGAGTTTTAGCACGTTGTTTTGTCTTTTCTTTTATCATGTACAAATGCTCTTTACTCTACAGAAAATTTTGTCGCGATGTTGAGAATGATTTTGTTATGGAGTTATAAGTGTTCTTTCCTACTAATCTCACAGCTTCTTTCGTTGACTAGAACTTCCTTCTGTTTATATCTTCATCTTTGCGTTAACTGTTGTTCACGTTTCTGGTCAAATTCGAACTTAGAATTGATGATAGAACTTCCGAGATAGTTAGACTGAATTCCTACCTTTGACCTTTTGTCTCAGTTTCAAGTCAATAATCACATTATTGTCACCATTCATTCTCTAAAAACTTCACGCCATTCTTTTGAGATGCTGTTATCATTGAATTTCAGTCATGTGTTGCGTGAGAACTATTCACACCAAAGTTATTGGACGATTGTTGCGTTGTGTCATGGGTTGTTTAATGTCAGGCATTTTACCTGTTAGATGCCGGATTAGTGTTGTAGAGATTATGCGTTTGCGTACGGAACCGAATGTCCTTGGTTCTAACTTCGTAAGAAGTATCGTGAATCAGCATTCATGAGATACCCGATACTCGAACACAAAGGTCATTCAAAGCTTCCGGTATTACAGTGATCGTCTCACATTGAATTGTTCATGGTTTCATTGATATTCAACGGTCTGCGCAACCTCATAATAAGTCGGTTTACATAATTTCTTTCAACTTGTGCACACTCAGTATCCCTTAGTATATCAAATATTAACTCAATAATATGAGTAATTCAAAAAGTTAGTCTTATTGAATGTTGAGCATACATGGGTTTGCAAATAAGCAAATAAACAAGCCCCAAATCAATGGTATTCACTTTCTTGTTTCACGTAGCCGTTACGTTTTCCAACTACATGGTCTGCCAACAATAAGGATCAAGACCACTGTACAATCTATAGTAGTATTCGATCAAGATTTCCACTCAGTTCCCTGAACTTAAATGGTTGACATGACGAATCGTGACTTTATCCAGGCTAGAAAAACAAGTAACATAAATTATCACAAGTGATCAAACTACTAGAACTAACAAATTCAACTTCCTGAATGAGTACTTTATAGCTAAGAGATCCGTGAAAAACTTAACAATCGACAGTACATACGCACAGATATCGAAAAAAAGTAAGTAAAGTCCATCTGCTTAGAATTCAGCTATAAAAAGTAATAATACATAAAATGAGAAAAAAAGTTATACCATATATATAGTGCGATTGACAAAATCCGTAAATGTGTTCATTGACTTAACGTTAAAATCTGAAAACGGGAGAAATGAATTTGGATAGGCAAATGATGAAACTTGGGAAGTTTTCCACCAATCACAAGTTTACTCGGAGAACCCACAGCTTAGTGCAATTTCCCATCACAATTACACGTAAACATAATCAAGTTTCTTCAGTTTATATTGTATCTAATATGTATATTCACATACTGAAGTTTGCTTCCAGAACACTGACGTATACCGCGTGACAGCGTCACTAGTAAGGGTCAGTTTGTTGACTGTTTAGCCGGGTCTGGTGTCTGAGCATGACCTCTTCTGCACTGACTTGGTCGTTCGAAACAGGCTGTTTCAACTAAGTAATCTAGTTACAAATTCGATTCAGATGGTTCTTTATCCAAATACAGTCACCTGTAGGGGATATGGTTTATATGTTGTGTTAGTTATTTACATCACAAATAAATTTTGAACAAATCGTCACCTACTCTTTTTACGATGACATACGTTACCCAAGTAGACCAATATTGTCAAGGGTTTCTTACATACACTGGTAACTCATTAGAAAACCAACGTTCAATTCTCAGTACCTTGGGTTGATGATCTCGTCTTCTTCATTATGGCTACATGCTATCAAATGAATTCCGAGTCTTCGTTTTGAACATCGATTGAGCTGAAAAGACACTGTTAGGTGAGGCCATATTTGGGGTTATTTCATGTGCTCTCATCAAATTCTGGATGACCTCCTCCATTGTGCACTTCCCTTGCGATTTCATAAGGGATAGCTCTAAGGCATCGACAAGACGCTCACCTTGACAGTTTGACTGCGGATGGCAGTATGGCGATGGAATATTTCTGGCTGCGTTCTTCAAGCAGAAGTTCAAGATTTCCGACGAAAAATGAGGTCCACCGTTTTTATCTAGTGTTCATGGAGAACCTAACTGACCACTTAATCGTCCAGAAAAATCTACATTGACACGAAATCTCGGCTCTACGGCACCTGGACACGGCGATGGCTGTACTTCCATTTCTGCAGCTTGTGCACTTTGTGGAAATTTCCTCACGATGCTTTCAATGTTCTTATACATCGAAAGCCTATATGTGTAGCTGCGTGTCAATGACTTCATACATTGCACCAGAAGGGAGTTGTTTAACTACCTGAGATTCAAGAGTGGTCAGAATAACTAGGCGTTCCTCAAACATATTGCGTCGTCGAAAGTACTATATTAAATCATTATAGACTTTGTTTAGTCAACCGTCATCCAAGTACTTCTAGATCTGCTGACTTTCATAATCCATTAGCATAGCATCCCGAATCATATTCATCATTACTGGCCATACGTAGATCGCACCTGAAAAAACAGGTTTTAATTCTGCCTCGAATGATACTGTCACAACGACACGATCCTCATCGATTACTTAATATAAGTTGATTAATCTTTTGTCGTTGTCACCAGATACTGTCGTGATGAGCGGTGTTTGAAATCTGAAAGTGGTACACGATGTGCTACGCGCCAACCCAAAAATAATTATTTGACCGAGAAAAATAGTGGACGACAATGTATGCAAAACTAGCAATGTATATATATATATATATATATATATATATATATATATATATATAATTCCACTTGTAAGCTAAACAATCCATTACTTACCAAATGAAATGCAGTTTACTTTCAGGTCAAATTTCATTACTACTGATTGATCTTCCCAGCAGGCTAAATTTGAATGGCTTGCCATATCAGTAACATAACGTTTTCGGACAAATGATAACAATGTCAGCACCCATACCTTTCAAACGCATCTTAATTAGGCATACATATATGTACATATAGCGGTTAACCAATTGAGTAAATGTGTTCATTAAGTTTACATTGAAATTTATGAAACGGAAGAGGTGGATTTACATAAAGAGCAACAGTGTAGTATAGGGAAATTCACAATTATAACAAGATATTTTGCGAAATGTTCAGGTCAGTGTAATTGGCCATTTCACTTATACATAGAGTGATCAATTTTATTTTCTTTCTACAACATTTAAGATGTGTTAAATTTTACTTCTAGAACACTGATGTAAACCATCTGATAGTGTCACTAAAAAATATCATTTTCTTGACCTAAATTGTTTGTACAAATATTAACAGTGATACAGTGATATGCACATCCACCTAATTAGGCACAGAACACATGATGCACTTGTATGGCGTAAGCCTGATATCGAGGTTTTCAATCAATATGTGTTATTTTCTAATTGCGTATGTACGTGATCAAATAAAATGGTGTAAGCAACTATGAATGAACCTTTGATTATTATTGACAACCAAAATTTATTCAATCCAAGTACCTGCATTGACCGAGAATAAATGGAATTCAACGAGGAATGCTTATTGTCAACGAAATCTTTTGCTTAAGCTGCCCATTTATATCTATGTTTGTTTGACAAATATGTGAGTCTATAGGAGCAAAGAATGCGATCATATCGTGAAGTGATCCGAAACAGAATGGGTTACTTTCGACGATACAACTCTTGATTCTGTGTCCATGTCTAATTGCAGAAAGACGTCTTCTGTTGGATGTGACGAAACTCTGTATTAAGCTCGGACCAGATTCAATAAAGTCGTCATATTTGTAAGACCAACCATCAGTAATCAAATATCACGGATTAGTAGCCAACATGAATTCAAGTGTTGATAACATGACATCTGGACATTCTAATTTCACCATCTCTTTATCTACAGAAGTGAACTCAATCCAGTAACATGACATGTTCAGTACTAGGACCCATAGGTGCGGATCATCACGTTCACACCTCATTCGATACATCAATCTGTCATTATCATTTCGACATGAACACAATAGTTTACACTCTCATCTAAAGTGTCTACTGAATACTGTATAAAAACACGAACATCTGCTTTACGCATATTTTCCATTACAATTCTAATCTATTCTCCGATGATGAAATTTAGGAAAACAATTTTCTCATTTTATGCTGCCTTTTATGCGGTTGCAACACTTAATTTACCTAATGTGTCAAAGTGTCACATGGTGAGATCCATTCCTGTTAGAAAACAATAATATGACGAGTTCGATAGTAAATCAATGTAACCGTGCAAAATACAATAAAGCGAAACTTATTTCACTATCTATATGTCAAACAGTCAATAATACCTATTCTTTATGTAGTAGAATACAGAGAAAAAAAGGTACATTTGTAGCGTGGCGTCGAGTTGAGGTTAACTATGAACACCGCTACCAAGAAACACGTGCCAAATAGATCAGAAGGCGTAAGAAGCTCGTTCCAAATGACTCCATAAAATCCCCGAGAAGCCAAATATCAGAAGGCAATTAATGGACCAAGTCGAGGTGTATATTTGCTGGCGATCTCGTGGCATCGAAAGGATACCGAGATCGTGCCAGGATACAACCTTGGTTACAGAAGGTAACCGAATTCGCGCGAAGTTACAATCGAAGTGTAAGTAAAAGAATGGAAGCACAAAATAGCTGTCATTAGCACAGTCAAACAAAAGCACGTTAAAACAAACACTGGTACAGTTGGTTATAATAATAATTGTTTTTATTAAACCAGTCGTGTTCTCGTGATAAATGTGAGTCACTACAGGAGCCCCCCGCTAGAAAGGGTTTACACTTTCGATAAATAGCGGTTTGAATCGTGGGACTGATCGGCTGACGAGCGATTGTAGGACGGAAGAATTGGCGAACAGGAAAGCGATCGTTGATCGTCGAGTTGCCAACGAAGGTCGTTTTCGGAGAACGGTACCAGGAGCGATGTGCTGTATTTGTTGCTTGAGTTGGCATGCTACACCAGAGTGGTTTGTATCCAGAATCTGAAGAGGGCGTTCGTAGGGTGCGGACCAGAAACGCTGCAGACGTAGGACGAAACCACGTTGAGCCAAAAGACCAGAAGCGACCATAACGACCAAGTTCGAGACCAAGCGTATGCCAAGCATTCGAAACCAATATATCGACTGAGTACGTTGACAAGAGCGTGGGTGATCAGGCCAGCTTTCGCCAAAGTTGACTGAAGTCGACGGAACCAAACGGAGATGGTCGAAGGCGTGGGCTCAGGAAACAAAAAGAAAATCAAAAAAGAGAAGAGTGTAGCATGCGTGTAGTATAGGAATAATCCTACACCGTATCGTTTGTTAACTGTGCGGCTAGTCGCGGAAGCGTACGGGTAACCGTACTCGGCGACCGGAACGTGAGACGGTAGTCTCGTTCGCGTCGCGTGAGCCTGCAATCTCATCCGAAGTCAAGGGCGGCGTGGTCTGCTGATCTGGACGTGAGACTGTCGTCTCATCCGTAGACGGTGCAGATGACGCGTGCTGTTGACTGGGACGTGAGAATGAGGTCTCAGATGTATCTAGCGTGGGACCTGAAGATGGTTTGAGGATCCCGCTAGTAGGTTTGCTAGGTCTAGCATTGAATCTCAGGTTATCAGATAGGGCACTGTCATCGACGTGTGCTGGTTTGAGACGATCAATGCTGACGATCTCGACGCGTCCATATCGATCAACCTTGAAGGTCTTTTCGTGACGAGCGATCACGTGAAAAGGGCCTTCGTAAGGTTGTTGCCAAGATTTGCGTACCGAATCTACTCGTATGAAAACATGTGAACAGGTAGATAACTCTCGAGGGAGAGCGACCTGTCGATGTTGTATTCGAGTTGACACCGGAGACAGCGTTCGCATAAATGCAGACAGTCGATGGACGTAGTCTGATTTACCGAAATTAGGTCTGCTCCGTGGTGTGAAGAATTCTCCGGGCAGACGCAATGTCGTGCCGAATACCAGTTCAGCGGCGGAACATTGTATATCTGCCTTCAAGCTCGTTGTGATCCCTAAAAGAACGAGCGGTAAGGTTTCGTGCCAGTTGCCGTTTTCGTGTGCTCGTATAGCACTTTTAAGTTGGCAGTGAAACCGTTTACTTAACCATTTGGTGCTGGGTGGTAGACAGATATGCTTATGCGTATGCATTCCGTACCAAGCAGCCGGGTCAGCGAGGAGAATAGTTAATAGGGGAAAATTTCTCGAATAAAGCGTGGAATTCATCGTCACGCGAATAAAAAGTAACAAGGATTCGGTACACGTACATGTGAGTCTATTATATTAATACTATTCTTATCGTTATCCGTCATGTCGAGTATATTATATATTAAAAAATATGAAAATATACGACAGACGTGGATAGATAAATCATAGACTCACCGAATTGGCTTCTTTGGAAGATTTGACCAGATGTTGAGGCGTGTTCCAAACTTTGGGCTCACCAATTGTAGCGTGGCGTCGAGTCGAAATTGACTATGAACACCGCTACCAAGAAACACGTGCCAAGGAATCAGAAGGCGAGGGTTGGACGTAACCAAATAGATCCATAAAATCTCCGAGAAGCCAAATATCAGAAGGCAATTAATGGACCAAGTCGAGGTGTATATTTGCTGGCGATCTCGTGGCATCGAAAGGATACCGAGATCGTGCCAGGATACAACCTTGGTTACAGAAGGTAACCGAATTCGCGCGAAGTTACAATCGAAGTGTAAGTAAAAGAATGGAAGCACAAAATAGCTGTCATTAGCACAGTCAAACAAAAGCACGTTAAAACAAACACTGGTACAGTTGGTTATAATAATAATTGTTTTTATTAAACCAGTCGTGTTCTCGTGATAAATGTGAGTCACTACAGACTCATAGATCCCTTGTTCGAATCCAGTGAGGCGTGGTCTTGAATAAACGCGCTGCTGAGGTGCCTCACAATAGGACGAAACAGGCATCCAGTCCTTTCAGGTTTTCCATGGTGGTCTAGCTTCAAATGACTCATGATCCCAACTACTGAAATGTTATTGTTGTTTTTCAGTTGTTCTTTTGACCTTTTTTCTTTATATTTTGAAATATTTTCTGTCTGTAAGATTCTTTCTGTTAACTTCTTAGTTTCAATCAGATCTGTTTTTCATTGTTTTTTTTTAATTTTTCATTAATCCTATTAGATATTTATTCTCTAATTAAAGAAGGTTACTTTGAATAGTTGTTCTTTTCTCCTGCTATTTATCCTTTCTAATTATCTAATTAGAACTAGGTGATCAATTTTTTTGATGTTGTTGTTCTTATTGTCGTCGTCATCGTTGTTCTTGTTGTTATTCAATTAAATATCCAAGTTATTTTATTTTGTATTTTAATGATCAATATATATAGTTCATCCAAGTTACTATATAGTTCACTTATTCTCTATATATATATTCATTACGTTTATTGTAGATAGAAAATGCTTTCAAGTCTACTGGTGATTATCTATTTGGTTAATAATTCACTATTGAAAATTTATGGAGATCATGTACCTTGTGATAAACTAAATCTTCAATCTAATAATGATCAAAAAACGATTATATGCAGTGATACATATTCAAAGGTAGGAAAATAGTAGTATTGTCTATACATATCAATAGTTTGATCGTTATTATTACTCACAAGTAATACGTTATAATCAACCTCTTCCAATTGTTGATGTAACTTTTCGTCAAATCAATGATTATGTTGAAGTAAGTGATATATATATTGTAACAAGAGTATAATATCAATATGGATATGATTTTAGATTTTCGAACCATCCTTCATAATCAAATTTTATGGTATGCCCTATGAGAATATCTCTATAGGAATTGATGGTAAGTAAATTGATTTCAATTAGTCAATTTGGCTATTTACATGTAGGTTCATATAATCAATTTCATTCTATGTGTTTGACATCTCTGATTCTATTAAAAGTTGTTTATAGTTTCAGATTTCATAACAATATGGTTACAATTTAACTTAGTTTACAAATATTTGAAAATCTGTCCATCATTTACAAAATAATAAAAATCAATTTATCTTGTTTTCAATGGTTAAGATCATGAGTCAGTTGAAGCTAGACCACCATGGAAAATCTGGAAACGGCCGTTCATTGGCTTCCAGATTTTCCATGGTGGTCTAGCTTCAACTGACTCATGATCTTAACCATTGAAATTACTATAATATCCACAAAACCCATCTGATATTTATCTTGTTTTATTTATTAAAAAGGTTTCATGACTTTAAAGCATTCAGATGATGAATACCCTAAGATTGGGTTCATCACAATGCTTTTAATTCATGGTGATACAAGATTTCAAGTAGAAATTGGAAATAATGGTGAGTCATTTCCATTTTCTTTAAATATATTTTACATGTTGAATTAAAATACCTGAGTTTGCAAATACAATAGAACCGTTAGAACATTAGGAATTATTTCGTTTTCTTCAACCTTTTTGTGTAATTCAGGATCAATTTATATTGATTGCTAATTACTGCTGTTACGTAAAATGTAAAATGGGGCAGATATTAACTTTGAAATAATCAGAAACTACATGATGTAAGACAATAAAAAGATCGAACCATTTTATTACCAATTTTAAAGTTACATATTTCGTAGTCACAGGATATAAGCTATTTCACTATAATATCACTTCTAGATTAATGTGGAGAATTTAAGTGATCACAGATCAGTGAGGCACTATAGGTTGGGTTCATGTAGTGAGTCGGTTTTTATTAGTGATGAAAAGTGAAGATTTGATCAATAACATTGTTTGTTTTTTACTTAGCTCATTCACCACTGTAGTTTTTGAGTTGCGGTAACGTATCAACTATCTATCAACCATTAGATATTCGAAACTTCCTTCGGTACCCATACTCGTATGTGTATGAAACGTGATGCCTTGTTCCTTCTAAATCAGGGAATTATTAATTGATAAAGATTGGTTGATTGGTCCTATGTGGTTTACCTAATCCAATACACTTTGACTGCTATCTCAATTCGAAGTATTTTTTAACTTCATTTCAGTCGACAGTATTGAGTTTCAGATAATTAACATAACTTTTCTGGAAAAATTGTTAACTAACTGTAGTTTGACAATCTGAAGGTCCTCCACAACTAAAGTAAAAGTATCCAAACTGTACTTCAATGAAAACTTGATACTACCTGTTTTAAGAGAACTATTAGGCTTTATTATTTTCCAGATGCTAGCGAGTGTCATTTGGACTTTAGATCCTAGAATCGGCATACCAGAATAACAACTTTATCATCGTTTGGTTCAACTGATACATTGAATACACGAAGGAAATAGTTTTATTATTATCATTAGAGGCTTTATTTAATATTATATTTTTGGTACAATTAAGAATTCTCAGCATAAAGTATTTCAACAAGTTTGCATTTCTGATTTCTTGATCTATCCTTACAATAAATATTGAGTGGTCGCTAGTTAGATGTTAGCAGTTCAGGAATCAACATCTGAATGATATATATTCTTTTCAATGCATATTACCAGCACCCAGGATGTCGCTGATTGTGCTCTTTTGTAACTTGTACAGCAGAATGTCATAAATTTTTCACAAACGCACCAGAATAAGTTACGAGACTAATAGGCATAATGATGTGTTAAACACAAACAAGAAAACAGATAACTTGTTGAAACATCTAAATGGCAGTAACAGGTAGCTCAGATATTCAACCAGGTCGAAACTTTATAATTACCTCGTTGAAGTCAGTTGCTTTGTTTTTGAATGCGATAGTGGAAATAATAACCCTATGTGAAATTTATTCGTGCATATATATTTATATACTTAATCTATTTGCATTACTTCAGAGAAAGTCGTCGTTATCAAATTTGTGTCTGAGAAATATAATGGTAATCATATTATATATAGATTTTGTAATATATTTATTCAGTTATTTTAATTACATTCGATTTATTCGTTTAAACTATTCTGTTCTGTATACAGAAATGAGGAAATCATACTATCTCTTAATAGAAGTAAACCATCGTTTGTTAACTTCAGTAAAAACAGCGAAACATTCAAATCGGATATTGTAAATAAAAAGGAATATGGATTCTAATTGCATATACCACTTAACTATAGATATATCAAACCATGAATTTAGAAGTGGGATTTAATGAAAATGCAGTAAACAAGAACACGAATGGGGACAATCGAATGCATTTAATACAAACTTACAGAGCATCTCACTTAAGTTTGAGAACTATGTAGTAAATCGTTAATTTGCAAAATATCAGTCAATCGTCTCAAACTTCACTGTTCCTTTTGCAAATATCAGTCTATTGTCTCAGATTTCATTATTCATGCATTTTCATATCAACTGTGTTCCGCTTCCGTTCTTTCCTTATCGATCTTCTGCTGAAATACGTTCAATGCCTGACCACTGTTATATACTACTTATATGGATATAAGTAACCCACACCACAAAAATACTATTTTTATAAGGAAACATGTTTGCATCAAAAAACCATTAATGTATACAGTATTTATTTTCATTATATTAACAAAGTTAATTAAACGATTGGAAAATGTATATATTTAAATAATGAGACCTTTTAACTGTTCTATGTGACAAAGCAATACATCATAGTTCATATTACAATGCCCGAATAATCTTGTACGGTGATAAATGATTCACAATTGATTGATCACTGGGTGGTGATCAATGTCATGTGTGTCAAGTCCTTCTTAGTGCAAATTGAATGCTATCGTTCAAGTTGCAACGTGGCCACCAGTCTAGGTCATTCAACACTGCGTGCACTATGTTGAGATAAGATGGTGGTTGGAGTTTCGGGCTACTTGGCACTTGTCAGCAAGGTGTAACTGTAATCTTGAGGGAACTGGTGCTCCCTGACAGATTTGATCCCGTGTCACCCAGCTTCATAGTCAGAGACGTTACCACTGATAACTGATTATTTCACAAATATGTATGAAATATATTCAGCGAATGACAATATAACTTCAACTAATAGATTCCCTACAAAGTCTGATAGGCTTTGGTTTTAATTGATAAACTAATACGTAATACAAATTGTTGGACTACGTATATTACTAACATAATAATTGGAACATACCACAGATAATGTTATGACATGTAATCATTTCATAAACAATCTATAGAGTATTACATTCAACATAATCACATAATCATGAATTTTCATATTCATAACATAAACCTTTAGTAATTTGCTTGTATACATTACAGTTAAAGCGAATTGTTATATTTATCGAAATGGGAAGATATCTTTTTACTACGAGAAGGTCAGTTTAATAATTGAATAAGCCATAAAGTTAGTTCAAGTACATCAGTTTATCTTAATGTCTTTTGTATTACAAATTGTTATCCTTATCAAAATACATTACATATGATTTGAGTACATCATCAATTCTATAGTAAATAAACACTTTCAGTGACATACTATTTCCAATACAACACACTCAAGTAAACTAATGGTAGATTTAAACAATAACATATAGAAATAAAGAGAAAATCGCCTTATACTAATTTGAAGTATTCTATTATCTCTAGAAGCAAAGATGTGATGCTACAAGTTGTGAATCAGTGAACATTTAATAGTTATTATGAAACACTGATGCAGGATGTCAGATGTGTTCCTCCTTATATGAACCAGGCATTATTCTTCTGTTAAAAGTTTTCGAGCTATTCAATGATCAAAATTTCAACTACGTTTCAATGCATAATTAGTTAAACATAGTTGATTAGGTTGTTTTCCGTTCAAAACACCGTCTCCATTTCCTAACTAGATAGCTTTTGTAAGTTAAGTAATTTCATTTATATCTCGCTGAATCTTTAGTTGATGTTTCTGTTTGAAATGAAAAGGTAATTTCAATACTCTGTGAGTAGAACTTCAATATATAAGATTGTATGTCTGCAGTCTCTAACACAAATTTCCACAATTCCTTTTCAGATACCTGATAACATTAAAGAAATTTTGTTATGGCCGATGATGAACAATGGATTATGGTGCAGTCATTCCAGTAAGGAACATTCAGACTAGCTAAAGAAGATTTGTGATAACTGATAACAGAGTCTATTTTCTTGATCTATGGATGAGTGAGTTCGTACGAAATTCAACGAGCCAGATTTCCAAACAACCGTGAAATGATGTGGCTTATTCATAATCAACATCCAAGTGCCACGACACTTTGTTTATTCGACTGATGACAGCACAAAATGGAACAACTTAAATTGAGTAGATCAAACTGGACGATAGTATGTGATTGATCCGATGATCGTCAACATTTTGTTTGAAAAAAGACGATTTGGGCTATTCTGACGATATCAACTCTGTATCGATTTGCTTTTCTTCGTTAGATTATGTTGTCATGTATTGTCATCAGAGAGTTTCACATTCTCTCGTCCTTCACGAAACAAGTCTCCCAGTTCATGTTCAACCAAAGAGAATAAAATAATCGACATCGTGTAGATAACTGCAGTGCAAATGGGTGAATGAGTACATACATAAGTCATGAGAACACATCTTTATACATATACATTATTGATTTAGTCCAGATCAGAACATATAGGAAAATTTTTGGAAAATGTGAATATTCCATTCACTTATGGTAGCCCGGCAGCCACCTGCATATCTCTCTTAAATTTGATTTGATCGTCACGGCCATGTCAGACAGACAGTCGGACATAATATTCACTATTCAAGATATTTATTTATCTATTTCACAACTCAGTATAATCTCAGCCAAACCACTTATCCATGCTAAGAGATACCTGTCTTACGAAACGGAATTCCGGCACTAGTGTTGGAGAATATACAGTAGTCAAATAATGCTGATTTAACTGTATCTTGTTTAAACCCCGAACTCTGTCCATGAAAATCTTTCTCTACAGCATGTTTAGATAGCGAGTAGTGTTTCATCAATTATGTGTTAGACATACGATTTAGAAATGTAAGTTCTCGTCAAAAATGTATTGTTGAATCCGCATACTTTAAACATTAATAAAGACGATTATTGATATAAAATGTGAATTTATCTGTAATGATTTGAACATGATTGCATTAATATCTCACTTACAGAAATCAAAAATTTAACAGAACTTTTTTCATAATTACTAGCGCACCCTACTCCTATAAAAAAAGAATACAGCGTCATATTAACTCATGAGTCCTTAATCGAAGATGGCACATTAGTGGAGTTCGAACCTATGTCAGGTGAGTTTGATATCATGATATAATCGATCCTCAGTCACACTAACCTCTTTCATATAAGACTCATTTGATTCATGTAGTTATGTCAGATGACTAAATGGCATCCATTCTTTTGGTTTAGTAGCAGTATTATTTCTTCTCATTCTAGGATATTTAAAATCATTTTGTGATGTCCTGAATAGTTGTTGAATTGTCCACTTCGATATGATTTACTTCATCGGAATCTTACAAGACGGTGGATAAATTAATTAACTAGCAGCTAGTCGATAATTTTACGAAAATGACCAATTCTGTTCAGTTTTCACTGATTTTGTGTAGTATTGAATTTCCATGAGGTGTTGTGATCACAGAAGCATTCGATGTATTTCATAGTACCTTGGATCACAGACTGGACTCTAAAAACCTGTACTTTATCATATAGATAGAAGCCAATCATACTGAAGGAAATATCATATATCAAATTCGATAGATATTTTCATGATGTCAATATACTTGAAGAAACTAGTGTACCAAAGTAAAATGTAGTTAATGATGAGCATATGAATTGAGAAACTGAGAATACCATCCCATTCACAAGGTAGTTACACGAATTTCGAAATTTCTATAATAATTACTTGGCATCAGAGTAAATGACATGCTCATTTATTGACAACATGTTTGTTGAGATGCTCTTGAACCCTATGTGGATAAAATATCCCATAAGAACTATAGTGTGTCGTTTCTTTATCCAATCTGGTGTGTGAAGTGACTACTCAAAAAACCTAGAATATGCTCATTGGGAATCATACAGAAACAACTTCAAGCGAAAGTCGATATCACTTGAAATGCACTGTTATATCACTAATATTTTGCAATTTGACTCCAAGTAGATCGTATGAATGATTGTTATTGAAATATATATGTCGCCTATCCTCGTATATAATCACCGACTTAAATCGCGTTAGTCAATAACGGAATTAAATAATTCAAATACGAGAATAAATTTCGAATACGTATATTACATACAATCTTTGATCCAGATAAAATATCGGAGAAGCAAATGGAATAGAGCGAAGCAAAACGACGCTCAATGGAGATGGTGGATAAGCTAACTCCATGTAGTTAATCGTTAATCAATATTTCCAGTCACACAAAAATAAGTTAAAGACATGTAATGTGAATAGGATAAGAAGGGCACACGTATGCGGGCATATAAAAACAGTCAAGGTTGATAAGCGAATAATTAACAAGGTCAAAATGTGATTCAAGTAGAATGTATAGATTGGCCTGTCCGAAAGCTAGAATAAGATATATGGGCTTAACATAATAAGCCACACTACAGAATGTCTTGATAATTCAATCACATACCATCAAAACGGGGAAATGTGAAATCAACGAGATTTTAACCATGGTATGATATGTTTTCTCTAGTTAAATCTGAAGTAGCAATAATGCATTAAATTTGGATGACTATTAAAAGTCAAACACTCGGTTGTCAAATGCATTAAGGATGTTCGACATTCAACGTAATGTTGTTTGTTTAAGTTATATTCACACTAATTATGGAGTTATTATATGGCTACGAATTCGCAGTATGACATTAACCTCATACGAATCTAGTATTCTTAAACAAACCGATGAATGTGATTTCCTAAACTTTTGAAACAAACAATAACTCTTTATATCACAGCTTACCAACATCGTCAACTGTAAATAATGTTTGCCAACATTAATAACAGCATGTATCTTCGAAGTACTAATAAACTTTTGAAAAGGCTTCACAACTGATGGAACTTAATGCACACCTTTCTTATTTCATATACTTAGTTGAAGTCGAAGACAAATGATAACTCCAAATGAATTGACTGACATAAGCTATTGTGAAGTCTGAGTAATTTTAAAAGATAAAGAATAAACTGAGTACGACAAATAAATCGGGATCACATTTTCTGTTTAAATTCACCATAACGTACAAAATTTGATTCATGTCACAAAAATTCTAACACACTCATCTCATTTTATTTGCAGACGTTTGCGACATACAAACTACTAAAGATGTATGCATAAATACAAATAGAGCTGAATCTCAATGTTACTGGTGTTCAATGATTGAAAAATGCAGTAATGGCCGTGATTATCATGCAGATATATGGATGAAGAAC